GCCCCCCCCCCCCCACACACACAGAGCCGAGGGTGAACGAATGCACAAGAACAAGCGCAAGAACGGTTAGGATAGCAGTCGGACAAGCGAGACAGCGATGACAACGTCTAGGTTCCTTCATGATTCACGACCAACGGGAAGGTCAAGTGAGATCCAAGACCTGCAGCACCAAAAGGGCAAAGCCTGACATCTTGGCAAAAAAATGGCTGAGAAGATTTTGCGGCAATCGAAAGGCGTTTTTTACCGTGCAGGTTTGTTTCTTGTTCTTGAAAGCACTTGCAGAGCGAAAGTGAACACATCGAAGAAACAGACGGACGGGAATACAACCCGGGCGAGGTAGTTCCTTTGCCGTGTCGGGAGGGAGCGAGCTTGCTTCCTTGCCTTCACATCCTACGGTGCCAAGCGTCCTACGTCCTTCGTACGCCATCACAGTCGGTCGAGCAGGTCCAGGCGAACCGACCGACAGGACTAAAGAAGGCGACAAACACACTGACAGTCGATGGTTATAGGTCAAACCTGCCCAATGGTGTTGTTGCGGCGATGCGAGACATGCCAACCTGCCCAATGGTGTTGTTGCGGCGATGCGAGACATGCCAACGTGATCTTTGCCCTCCCTGTTTACTCCTGAATGCCCGAAGACACACGTAAAATCTCGCTAGCAGTGTACAAGAGCAAAGGTTCGACTGACCTGCTGGGCATTGAAGTTGGACACTCCCACCGAGCGGCACAGGCCTCGATCGCAAACCCTGGACATCCCTTCAGCCAGAGCATCCATTCCTCCAAAGTACGGGAACGGAAAATGCACCTGAGATAGATACCATGCCACCACAGCGGATAGCCCCGTGCGAATCATCCTCGTAATGATCATTATCATGATCATCACGATCATCATGATCATTATCACGATCATGATCATCGGAATCGGAGGCACCACAACTTGGCCAAGCAGCATAGGTACTCCTAACCAGTGATGCGTTCTTGCGCTGCATCACACCACAAGGATGTTCGACAGCAGTACAAAACTCCGTAGCACATCACCAGACCACTACGCCGTGCCATGGATAAAGTGCGGCGGATTCGCTTACGGTTCGCGAGCAAAAACGCACGACAGCAAACAAGACATTGCTCCCAGTAAATACAAGCGCGTGTCGTGGCGTGGGCAAACAGCCGAGCAATGATCTCGTCAACGCGCCGGAAATATTGTCGGACAGCAACACCCTAGACTGTCAGAACATAAGGGGCTTGACACGAACAGACTCCCAAAACACACACGCACACCGAATTGGTTTCCACGGTAGCTGCGGTGGCAATTCCCAATGTCTCGCCACACCCTGGGACACGCCCGTCAAAAGAGCGAGTCCAGCCCGCCGTTCGCGCAAGCAGCCCGTACCTGGTACAGATCTACGTATGCCCAGCCCCCCTTCTCCAGCGTGGCCGTCAAGGCCTTGGCGATCGCTCGTCGCCCCGCCCTCCACGGCCCGCCGATCAGAAACTTGGTCCAAAATATCGGCATGTATTTTGCCCCGATCAAGGGACGACCCTGTCGCGCGAGTGAGTGTTGTGTGCGTACTGAGCGACGAGGGGAGGTAGGAATCCGTTTCGCCCCAAATTATTGCTGAAAAGGTAACGTAGGGTTGGCTCTTTTGAGCCACAGCACTCCTAGTGCGCGGTCAAATCCGAACGAAGCGCCAACATGGTTCCGTGGGCGGCAACACAACCCCGACCTAGAGAACGGAGGGGCCGAGCGTTATGGTAGCTGCCCTCACGATTTGATGTATCAATGTGAAATGGAGAGTCGACCTCATGCACGATATATGTTCTTCCGTAACCTGGAACGTATGCCACACATTCTGAAAAATCTATGCACCTCCGGGGGCTGGAGACCCCCAAGCCAGCGGAGAACACACGCGCTTGCTCGGTGTGAAAATTGTCGCACTTGTTCATCACGCCCGCATCGCTTGGAAGCCACTGTAACGCAGTACTCTGCAGTCGCAGCGTCAGTTTCCATGCCTCGTCCGTAGAGATGAACATGTTGTACTGCGTGCTACGTGACACGAAGGGTCAAGCTACCTCCATTCATGCAAGCCAAACACTTCCATACATGCTCTCTGAAACGTTGCGCTTTCCTCGCACAGTCAGCAGCACTCAACCCATAGCTATTACGAGCAACATGCAACCACCACCACCACTCCAGGAGCTACGGCGGAGTAACTGCATTGGAACACTGCCTCACGTTTTCCTCCGCAAATCTCCCCAAAAGTTGCTCCGCGCTGAAACCTTCCGGAGACGATTTGTACCCGTACACGTCCGATGTGTCGAAAAAGGTTATCCCGGCATCCATCAGGGTATTGTACGCCCCCTGTTTTTCAGTGCGGGTAAAATAGAAAACAAGCAATGAGCGCCTTGGGACGATGACCACACAAAGTCGTCGAGGGTATGAAATTGACGTATGCAAGTCTTCTCGGTGACGTCGAGGCGCAAGGACGTAGAGTGGGGAATGCCCAGAACAAGGAGGCGGAAGCCAACACAAGTCTAATACAATCGACACTCATGAAGAGACCGTTGAAATTTAAAGGTAGCAACTGGTTGAGGTTCAATGTTCCATGAGCGAACGGCTAACCGCCCTCCAATGGTACTGTATTCAGCAACAACGATGCACCTGAAGGTCCGCCGGGTTGAACTCGCCCTCCTTCGGCTTGCACTTGGGATCGCTCACGAACCCTACTTTCTTGTCCCCCCAAGCCATGGTACCGACGCCCATATAATTGGGGATCTCCAACTTTCCCTTCTTCAGCATGCTCCTGCGATATCAAAGCAACGGTTGATCACTCTGTGAGTTTGTGCGCTTTGGGGCTCGGTAGTGTGCATAGGTATGTCAAAGGTGGGTACACACCTCTCGCTTCAATACACCGTCGTATTCCGCGTTCTGCCTACTGGATTCCAGCGACAACTAATTCCACTCTCTTGCATGTGCCGTCGTCTGCACTGCAGTGAAGGATTCCGGCAGCGCTGGGATGCAAGTATCGGTCGTCTCGCATGTCCGGGGTGATGGAGTCAATTCCATAATCGATTAATAAAATACTACTGAGACGGCGAAGCCACAGCGCTTCAACAGGCGACCAATGTACAGACCAACATGGACATGCCACGGAACCCTCCATGTTGTGCGTAATTCACTGCAAAAGTAACGAGAACGTACCGTGCGCTTGTGGGAACGAACGCTAGAAATAGTGCGCATGGGTTTCAAAACTGGTTCAAAACTGCTGTGTTGTCCTTAAGTTGACGCACAGGTTACTGGGTTCTTCTGTACCGTCACTCCACATGTACGACCCCCAGTTACACGAATAACGCATCACAGAGTAGATGAACCAAACAAAGCAGGCGAGGTCTCGTGGAGAACGTCGGCAGGACGCGGCTCTTGCACGATGTCTCTTCAAAGCAGAAGCAGTACTTCAGAGAAACGGTACATGATAAATGCCACAAGATGAATGCCGTTTCTGTTTGCCTGCGGAATGCTCTTGTTCACCTGCTATGCATCAACTGGGACGGTCTTGCTACGTTGACCGCCAACTAAGAGCCTCCTGCCGCGGTGCGGACGACATCATTGATACCATCGCTTTGTGCAACAACCCAGCAGAAACACTGACTAGACGGGGGTGAGAGCGAGGCGGCGTGCCCACGGCGTCTGGCCAGGTGTTTGCTGTCTACACTAAAAAGCAGTGACATGTTTCCGTTTGTATGCAGGTTTGCTCATATGAGCAAACACCTCCATCTTCACACGGCGGGAGAGCAGAGCTCCCCATGGAAACCTGTCATACCCAGCCTGTCACAGCAGCGCATACAGGCAGCAGTAGCCGCTTCGCACAATACGCCGGTCGCGCACCTGGGGAAGACGAAAGGTTTGTCGTCCCCTCCCTCCGTTGACATCTGGAGGGCAGCCTTTGCATAGGATCGTGCCAGCGGTGCATGGTGGCGGCCAGCTAGGGGAGCAATGAAGCCACTTGCAGCCGTTACTGCTGCCAGAAATACCACTGCCGCCATGATAGGCGCCATGACCGCGTCGTCGTGTGTGTCTGGCGTCGGTGTGAGACTGAGTTTCCTGCGGACGTTTGCCGGCCTCGCTTGCTCCTCCTCGGGTTGTGTATATGCGTAGATGTGAGCCTTGCTGCTGCCAGATACACCAGGCAAGCAACTGCCTCAACGACCTCCTCCACTCGAGCTTTGTTGCGTGTAGCTCCCGTTCACCCTGTCGCTTCGTTCTCTGCTTTGCACAGGGCGAGGCCGACGCCAGAAGCAAGTCCAGATGCGGTGGGCGGTATTGCCGAGTTGCTGCCCCAGCAATACCCCTTTCGCAATGTTTGCATTACGCGGAACCCCCAATCTGTTCCTACAGGTTCCTATACGACGACCAGGAGGCACGAGATATCAGACGTAGGAACAGAAGCCTAACGCTGACCAGCCGGATAGAGCGCACGTTTTCGCCCGGCCAATTATCGTATGTATCTAGTTGCGCAGGGAGACGGACGGACCGGGGGGTCTTGTTTTTTCGGCCAGGCTGAGTGTCCGTTGTTTATTGGCATGGTAATTTGTTTTTCGCGTTTTATCGGCAAAACTCCCTGAATGAAACCTATTATCGGGGGTGCTGTGTGCGTTCGGGCCTGTTGTGTCGTTTGTACTGACTGTAAAAATGCAAGAAATTTGTTGTCTATCCTACAATTCGGACTTGATGTCGATAGGTTTGGGCAACTCTAGGGGCCCGGTCTCGTGTGCGGCGTCCGTGTGTAAAGTATTTCCTCGCATTTTCGACCTAACCATTGCTCAGTGCATGCATATTCTTTACTTTGATCGAGAAGAAATGTTTCAATTGACAGTTTCGGACCCCCAAAAAAAAATATTTAAGGAAATATATTTCCAGTTAGGCCATCGTTCCCAGGATCGTTCCCGACAGTCTCGCCAGAACCCGAAATAAGGAAAAAATATTTCGATTCTAGAGCGGAGCGAGGCTCGTTTTGCGGAAAATTTTGCCAAGAACACTATTTAAGCAACTTTCTTCGAAACAACACACCCACATCAGCCACCACCACCACAACAGACCCGCACGCACACACAGCAGTCTGCTACGAACATGTCCAGCACCCGCCCAAAGAGAAGGCCAGCGCCCAGCGCAAAGGCCCTGGATCTGGCGCGCGACGAGGTTACCAGGAGGGAGGTGGCACGGGCAGCCGGTCGGGTGGGCTTTGCGGCTCTAGGCCAGCAGCACGCCCGAGACCTCGAGGCAGGGGGAGGAGAGGAGCAAGCGGCCGGG